GAACCGCTGACCTGCTGATCTAGCAGTAGCCTGCAGTGCTGCATTTAACCACTGCGCCACCTTGGCTCTAAATCCTTCCATTCCCCACTATCCAGTCAGAGCTGAAGGAGCTTCTTGGTTGAGAAATGAAACATCTTCAAAGGAAAACAAGGAAGTCCAGTTGCCTCTTGAAAAAAAAAAAAGCACCATTGGGATAACCATGACCTGGATGATTGAGAATCTCCATAGATGTTTTTGGCCAGAAATAGGTACAACGCATCAGCCAGCTAAATACTGATGTGATCTCAACTGCTGCAATCTCCCAGTCACGAGCATTCTGTGCTGTTAAGATTACAAGCAACGGCAGGCAGAAGTTGCTACAACTCCTTGTTTGTTCACAGAGTGTGAATGAACTTTTGGACTCGCTGCTGTAGTCTGCCTGTGTTTACTTTCACTTATTTTCACTGATGGTGGCACGGTGCCTTGCAGTTTTACAGGACGCATGTGAGCAGGCCTCTCACAATCTGGACAATGGGTGCAATCACCTCAGTTGATCCTTGGGGATTTCACTCACTCTACCCTGCATTTTCTTCCCCAAAATCAGCCTGGGAAGAGAGGTTTCCTTTCCCACCAATCACATTTTTAGACGTTCACATTTTCTCACGTCCGTCATCATCACCAGTGTTGTGAGTATCTTATTAGGTTTAAATGGACACCTTTTGTTCAAGACTTGAAGGAGGCATACATAGTACTCCATACTATTCCCCCCTCCTCGTAGAACACCCACCCTCCTAGGAGGCAGGTTGTAATGATGAAACAAGGACTAAGTTAGTCTCCTGGGTAGCTGCCATGACTGGGGACGGCAAGGACCTGGGCCTCGTAGCTCTTAATAAAAGGTAAAGGAGTTGTTGCTGCAAGTTGTTGCTGACTAAAGAGGACAGTGCTCATCTGTTTCAAGGCCATTGAATAACGCTGTTTGAATACATTTCCATGATCATGTGGCAACAGGGTGGATTTGATTTAAATTAAGTGAAGTTAAATTACGATTTAAATCATCAATTAAATCACTAGTAAAGGAGCTTGATTTAAATCAACTTCAATCATAATTGAGCAATTGTCATCTATGTCCCGCAGCAGCTGCTCCTCTGACCCACTGTTCTCACCAACAGTCCCAATATTGCAGAATATGCAGCCTCGTGCTACATAACTAAGCTCCATTTCATGCTGAATAAACATAATTATTAATGTACCTTAAATATAAAACTAAGGGGATGCGGTGGCTCAGTGGCTGAGCTTGTCGATCAGAAAGGTCGGCAGTTCGAATCCCTAGCGCCACATAGTGGAGGAAGCTCCCGTTACTTGTCCCAACTTCTGCCAACCTAGCAGTTCGAAAGCACATAAACAAAGCAAGTAGAAAAATAGGGACCACTTTGGTGGGATGGGAACAGTGTTCCGTGCCCCTTCGGCATTTAGTCATGCTGGCCAAAAGACCACGGAGACGTCTTCGGACAGCGCTGGCTCTTTGGCTTTGAAACGGAGATGAGCACTGCCCCCTAGAGTCAGGAAAGACTAGCACATATGTGCGAGGGGAACCTTTACCTTAAATAGAAAACTATCTTTAGATAGATTTTTACCCCAAAAGCATTTTATTAAAATGCATTTGATAAAAATAAAAATAAATCCAATTTAAATTTTGTAAAAATGTGATTTTTTTAAAAAAAAAAATCATCAATTTTTATCCACCCTATGTGGCCAGCATGGTGTCATGAAGCACTGTCACACTCCCTCCAAAGTGTTACCTATTCATCTACTCGCATTTGCATGCTTTCGAACTGAAAAGAGCTCTTAATCCCTCATCTTAATCTACTACGCTCTGGCCCTCCCATGTTTTATGTGGTCCAAACCACAATGGACTGGGTCCGATTCACTGCAGCTATTTTAATAGTGTGGGAAAATCTGTACGTTGGAAACATCACTTCTCCTTTTCTTTTGACCCATCGAAAAGTTCAAGTCTGAAAAGTCTTAAGAAAATGGCTTTATGGAGTCTTAAGATCCAGCAGCAGCGAGCCTATTGATGGGACAGTCGGGCCCACAATGTTTAGCGGAACTGTTGCAATGTAAGCTAACTGAAGAAAATGTGACTTTTTGCAATTAAGATGAGAAGAGCGACCTGCTGCTTTGTCTGAATCAGAAACACAATTTCTGGCCATTTCTAAAACAGAAGTTCCCAGAGCAGGTGGGTCACAGACCTTAGGAGACTTCTTCTTTTTCTCCTTGATATAGTCATCCTCAGACTCGGAAGCTTGTCGGAACTGCAGAGTTCCAGAGTTGATGTAGAAGCCTCCATATTTGGTTGTTAGAGATGCTGGAACAAGCTCATCATACTGGAAAGGGGACAGAGAAACAGATCAGTCAACAGCCTTGATGTACTCTTCTTACAGAACTGGTGTTTATAACCCCAATGTCAGGGTTCCAGCCTTGAGCCAAGCGTCAAAAGAAATCCAGTCGTTTATTAGGAGTTTCATGTCGGTAAGTACCCAAGTGAAGCCAGCTCTGACTCCACGTAATTTATGGTCCTAATCATGACTGTGTTCCCCCCCTCCTTTCCCAGGGTGTGTCATCAATCACATTCACCAGGGGAAATTTCGTAGGTTGGAGAGATCACTCCCCTCCAGCTGCTATAAGTAACCCTGGGATACAGCCTTGGGAGAGATAAGTCTGGGATGTATATCTGTCTTTTGCTGCCTTCAGTTTCCCATCCCCACTTTCCTATGGCAACTCGAGAGCAGGCCAGGGATGCTTTGCGAGTTGACACCCAACAGGGCTCCACGGGCCAATTTCCCGTGAACAGAGTTGACATAGCAGGCATTTAAAAGTATCACATATGCATCAGTATCTTCAGCAAAACCGAGGTTTTCCTTCCTCACCTCTATTCTTTCCTAACTACCAGACTCACTCAATTGTGATAGGTAGCCATATAAATGTGATAAACCAGTACTCTTCCAATATCTTCATAAATGATTCAGATGAGGGAATAGAAGGGGAACTCTTCAAATTTGCAGATGACACTAAGCTGGCAGGAATAGCCAACCTCACAAAAGACAAGCTCGGGATCCAAAAAGATCTTGACGAACTTGACCAATGGGCCCCATCCAACAGAATGAATTTCAATGTGGAGAAAAGCAAAGCTTTACATTTAGGCAGGGACAATCAAAGGCATATATAGATTTAGGCGAGACCTGGCTCAAAAACAGTAACTCTTGAGAGGGACCTTGGGAGTCCTAGTGGACAATCATTTGACAGCAGCCAAAAAAGCTAATGAAATCATCTGTATAAACAGAGGCATTGGATCAAGATCACGTGATATATTAGTACTGCTTTACAAAACCCTAGTAAGAAGACCACACCAGGAATACTGCAACTAATTTTGGTCACCAGACTACGAAAAAGTCTTTGGAAATAATAAACTGGAGCATCACTGGAATTCTATCTGCAATGTCTTGGAATCCAGATATTTTTCTGATGTACCTGCCTTAGCTTTACGGCAATACCATTCAGCACCCAATGTTGTGTTTATGTTCAGTAGTAAAATCTAATTTGTTAGTTGATATTGGAAAGTAAACCAAGGAAGAATATGTATGCAGATTATCTTAATGGACATCCTGGTGTGTATGTGTGTGTGTCTTCTTTTATCACATCTACTAATGAATCTGAGAGATCTGTAGAAGATCAGAAAAAGAGTCTAAGCCTCAGATGTTCATCAATAGAAGCAAAATTATAGCACTTTCTTATTTAGGCTGCTGAAATGAAAACACTTTGGAGGGCTGCCAGGTCTGGATTTGTTGTAAAAAAAAAACCAACCCAGCAAATTCTATCTGGCTGCTGCCCCACATTTGAATGAATGCTCAAACAATAAAGGTGTTTTATTCTTTAATTTCAACTTCTAGTCTGGCTCCAGTTCCCAGATCTTGACATTTTAATAAAGACACAGATTTCAGAAGCCTTCTCTAATCCATGGCAGGAAACCAACAGTTGCTTGGATCAGTGCAGCTTTTATAACTTGGAATTCAGGAAATTATAGAGAGTACAATTAGTCCCCAATTAGTCCATAATTAAGCCCAGAATAATGGTTGTAGGTTGTGATGGACATTAAGGTTGCCATGTGATCATCTGCAGTTTTAAAATTACTTTGTGGAGATTATTAAGAATACATGATGCTCTTAACTTAATGAACGCCACAGTTGATATGGGAACTTATTGTACTCAATGGGCATTTTTCGCTGGAAATCAGAACGCTGGTTTCTGGCAAAATAACAACAACAACAACAACATGTAACTGTGATGCCCACTGTTATCGGGACATTTGGTACCATGTCCAAGAATTCTATAAAATACATCAAGAAATTGTAACTTCCTGCAATAACAGCAGCGGAACTGCAAAAAACTGCAGTACTGGGAACATTGTACATCTTAAGAAAGTACTTGGCTGATATCTAGGACGCTGGCAGCAACCTGTATCAACCATTAGTACCAGTCAAAGGTATTTGTGATACGCTTTTGAATGTTCAGTTGACTGAGTTTCATGTTTAATGAATAAAGTAAATAATAATAATGAGGGCTACCTCGCTATTTGGAAATTCTAAATTTATCGGACTTGAACATTCAAAATAACAAAAATTACCCTACTTGGAACAGCTTATTCCCTCCGACGTTACCTCAACAGTTCCTAGGTCCTTGGTTAGGACTCGGGCTGTTGAGCTAC